AGTTCGTTGCAGGTAAAATAGTGAGCATTTCAATTAGTTTTCATTGAAAATAAAGTAGTTTATAAATTACTTTCAAACTAATTAAATTTCCTGCATGGTAGTAATTAACCGAAACACCCTCAAATATGAGGGTTGCACGTTGGCATATAAAAGCTAATTTATGTTGGTATTGTTGTAGGTTAGTCACGTTGACATAAAAAAACTAATTTATGTTGGCATGTTTTTTTGGTTAAAGGTGTTTCACGTTTTTTCCATACAAAGTATGTCGACAATTTTCTTTTATATGGAGGACACTGCCAGCAAAAAAATTGCCAAAAATCAACGGAATTTTTTAGCCGCTTGAAACTTGCACTTCTTCAGACTAGAATTGAATGTGCTACAAAACTGCATACCAGAATTTTTTCTAAAGATTCTGATTAAAAAGTTTGAAATTTGGGTGAAAAATTGCAAAATTTTTATAATTTTTATACAAAGTTTAAAATCTGAATTTATATGGTGTTTGTTGTATAGCCAGCTAGGCTTTTATAAAAAAATAATAAACATTAAATAAACAAAAGACAAATAGCCAAAAATAGTCAAAATATCGCACTGCTATTATTTTGTGGACAACTGTATATGTATTACCATGTAGTGTATTACCATGATGTTGGTTGCATACGCAAACAAATGCATGAAAGTTGAGAAAATTCAACTCTGTACGCATTCGAATTAGTTTTCGAATTTTTGTCCGTTCTCTGCGTTTACGCGCGTACTTATGGAGTTCATCACATAAGAACATGTGTATACAACTCAGCTGTCAAACGCATGCATGCATATACGCGCGCAGACGCTTGCCTATGGATTTCCAGCCTAACTGAGGACTATTTTAAAGGTAAAGGCACAGGTATTTTTATTATCAAAGCAATCATAAATTTTAGACCAGCGATGCCTAAGCCATAGCTCGTCTGAGCTCACCTTCTCATTGAAACAAATTTCATAAACTTCCAGCTCGACCAAACACATTATGAATTTGCAGCTCATCACACAATTGGTGCATTTGTACAGATTTGTACATTTTAATACCCGAGCACAAGGGTATTAGAACTTTGTTCACATAACGGTGGTTTGTAACAGGCAAAACGAATCGAAATAGATATAGACAAATGTATACATAAATGATCAGAATGAAAAGAGAAATCGATTAAGCGGTGACTGTCTGTCCATCCGTCCGTCTGTGCACACGATAACTCGAGTAAAAATTGAGATATCTTAACAAAACTTTGTACGTGCACTTCTTTCGGGCGTAGGACGGATGGTATTGAAAATGGGCAAAATCGGACAATAACCACGCTTACCTCCCATATAACGGTAATTTGGAGAAATACGAAATCTTCGATAAATCAGTAAATATTAAAGCTAATTTATTCAAAATTGATGCTTGCAACAACTCTTTACCAAGAAATACGTTTATGGAAAAATTTTGGAAAATGGGCGGGGCACCGCCCACTTATGATCACATATATGTATATCGGTAACCGTTCTACCAATTTGTACCAAACTCAGCATTTTTATTGTGCTTGCCACATAAAAGCAAAACGTTGAAAATTATTGAAATCGGACTAAAATTACGGCCGCTTTTTATATAACGGTAAATTTCAGAAATGCTTGAAGCTTCAATATCTCCAAATTTACTCAAAATTGATACACCCCGGCTTACTATGTAGCGGTAGCTTTCGGAAAGGTGGAAATCATATATTTAATACTTGCGCCGGGTATTTAATGTTTGGCCCCGCCCGAACTTAGACTTTATTTCTTGTTTTTATTTAGATGAACTCCTCTTCGATACAAATTTCTACAAATCACCACTCTGTGACTACCAAAATGTAAAAATCTGTGCAGATCCACCAATTGCGTGATTTGGTCTTTATTAATGAAAAAATCTGAAAATCATAAGATACATACATATGTACATAAGTATTTCGGCTCGCCATTATTATAATAGTCTAAGAGCCGGTGGTTGATCGATAACTCTGATGAGACATATTTTTTATCAAATATAATTTATAAACAAATATGCCTATGATAACTTGCCTATCGAAAAGTGCTCATAGCTATTTTTAATTTAATTAATTTTAATCAATATTCTTTCATCACCTTCACTCTTGTGATAACCGAATGAGTTTTATCTCAATTGATAGTTTTTAACACACAGAATATGCCTAGGTAGGCTTGCCTACTTATTTCTGTGCATGGCTACTTGGCATGTAGATGTGAACAGGTAAGTCAATATAGGTAACTACAGCGATCTGTTAACCAATCCAAATTGATATCATAGGTAAGATATTTTAATTACAAAACCAATCATATAGGCTTGCCTGCAAAAAATCGTACTAAAATTTTAATTACAAAACCAATCATATAGGCTTGCCTGCAAAAAATCGTACTAAAAATATTATTGCCAAGCTATAAAGTTTTAGAATTTTAGCTATTTGATAGGTGCGAGAGAGAAAGTAGAGCGTCCGAGGTCCGTGTGATAGAACAGGAAAGTCAACTAGCCTGACGCTACCTGACCGTTGAATGACCGAGCAGCTGTAATATATGACAGCATTACAGTATTACATTGAATCTAATTTTGTAAACTCTAATTTCGATCAACAATTATTGCATTATTTCACACTATATATACTTACAACTATGAAATAATCAAAAATAAATAATTTAATATATTAATAAAAAAAACAAATTAATTCAACAAATTTTTTTCTTGTTTTAAAGCTAAATTATAAAATTCAAAAATTATAAACAAAATTATATTTTTATTTAAAATTAGTAAAGAATAAGTTTAGTTGTTTTTTGTTTCTGCAGCACAAACGATTATACCATCCTCTTTACTTATTTTTCTCTGTAAAGACAAAATACATGCATATACATACATAAGTACATATATAAATATGCATGTTATGTATGTACATATT